GCCAGTGTGGTTTTTTTCTAGAGCCAAGGGACCCAACTGTAAAGAACCAGCCATCTTCAGATACCTGAGGTAGTCTGAGATGGTGGGACATCTTCAACCCATCATGGAGACGTGACAGCCAAGATAAACTCTTCAGTGTTTTTCCACCCAAGGCATGAGCTGTTTTGGTAGAGAGGTATTTAGGTGTTTATCAACAGGAGCTAAGCTAACTGGACAATGAAAGGCTGCAATTGTGATAGTCCTCAACCAAGTGGAATGTGTAGTCTCTCTTTTCCCTGATGGTGTTTTTAGTTGTCAAGCCACAACACTTAATGAATGGGGCTACAAGATGGAAGGAAAGGACAGACCTCTTGCGGCCGAGTGATGTGGAAGGAAGGAGGCGACCATGTCCCTCCTTTTACTTTCCTGGTGGTACAACTGAAAAGGAAATTGGAAAGGCATCCAGTTGTCAAACCAGCAGCCCTGGGCTGGTGCACTTAAGACCTCTTTTTGTCACCCAGCTCCCTATTTGATAACTGCAATCAATGAGACAGAGGTTACCTGAATTACCAAGGTCACCAAGCTAGTAGGGAGTCTAACCAGGACGGTTACCAATTCTCCTGTTTTCTACAAGTATGCCCTTTCCAACCACACTGTATTAAATCTTAAAAATAAGCACCAAATCTGTTGGTGAGATTTATCGCCTTGGAGCCTCAAACTGTAAGACAAATGTGGGTTTCCCTAGCCACGTGGTGTCATCTACTTTTGTAACTCATTCAGGCATGGCAGCATAACTTTGGTAAGTTCCTCCTTTGTTTCATTCCACAGAGCACCCTTCAGACCAAAGCACTGATCTGCAGCCCGCTATTGCAGGGGACACCAAGGGAAGGGCCCAGGTTCAGGTCTGTAGTGAGCTTGGTGACCACACAGGTGGGATCATTAGAGGTTTAGGAAGGGTGTACTATAGTCAGAGACATTCCAGAGATGGAAATGATCATCAGGATATGGTGATCTGTTTTTCTATAGGTGACAGCTGATTAAATGCAGGGATAGCTTTACAAAGGACCCATAGGTGATTTTACAGAAGGGAAGGAGTAGAGGGAGATAAGCTCAGCTTCTCTGCAGCTGCCCCCTCTGCCCACTGGCCTGTTTACTGGGGAAACTGGTCTAGCTGTGGCTCTCCTTAGCGATTGCTCCTCTTCAACTCCTCCTCTTGGAGTAGACCCTGACACTTTTCTGTCTGACTTACGTTGGGACTTATGACAGTTCGGCTTCTTAAGAAGATCTTTCTGTGATCCTGACATTGGTACATAGACTCCAAACAAATCAAGAACTTTTATGGTGAGAAGGAGTACTGTGGACAAGAACTGAAAACTTGATTATTTGGTCTGAGCCCTCCATCAGTTAACATCATTGTAAAATGAGAGAATTAGACTAAATTAGTGGTTTTTAAATATTTTAAAAATATTGGAATCTTCCCTTTTTGCAGTTTGAAGTTGCCTGGACTTCTGCTGGAAGAAGCAGCTATGACCTTCAAAATATGGCCCTTAATGCTAATGCCAGCATTTTCTGAAGAGTGAGGATAAGTTGCCCCGGATTTTCCAGTAGAGTTTGCAGTTATAGGGTGTCAGCAACAAGTTTCTGGGCCCATCTGGCTCCTTTGGAATCAGCTACCCAGCCTACGTTTCAAGGAAGTACAGAACTGGGACTTCACCTTGGAGCAGAGAGGTTAAGGAGTAAGAGAGAAGGAGAAAAGGGGGAGCCCAGAGAGCAGCAGTGTTTCCTGAATTTGAGGAGACTTGGGGGTGGAGACAATGACCCCCTTTTCATTTTCAAAAGCAGGATGCCTAGCTGTTACTGACTCATGGTCTAGACCCTTTCTCTATAGCAGAAGTCACAAATAGGAAGTCTTTCAGGTGTAATCAGCACACAGATGTGTTTTGTTTGGCCAGACACAGTGGGTTTTTTTGTTGTTGTTGTTTGTTTTTTGTTTTTTCAACTTTGAGCCCAAATGTCTTTAGGTGGGGTGTACGTTCTCTGGTTCATCACAAACCCCCCTACCTCCCACCCTCTTGGCCTGACAGTGCACACATTCCTGTTACCTGGGTGGCCCCAAAGGCATTTGACTTTGCACTGCCTGCTCTGATGTTTTCAGACAAATCTTCTCCATTTTATTCCAAAATGGTCCAGTGGAGAATTGGCTTGATTTTCCTGGGAAATGTGAATGGCTCACTGAGCTCAATCCGACTTTGGAAGGATCCGACTCCTTCAGAGAAGTCCCTCCCAGCTTTGCTTTGTTTCATTAAGCCAGAACACTCAGGGATGCTTCTCTGAGGAAAGGAGAAACCATATCTGGAGAAACTTCTATTGACACACCTGGACGTACCTCAAGTCTGCAATTCAAGCTCTTCATGTAATTTGTTCAGCCATGTCATGGTGTCATTCCTTGTAACTTGACCTATTCACTTAGAATGGGCCGCCCTATTTTACCTTTCTGTTTTTCTCCATATCTTCACTTTTCCAATCTCCTTGCTTAGCAATTAATTTGCCAAAGAGATGCCAGATGATTCCAACTGTCACCAGGACAGAGTTAAAAATATTTGACAACATTGAGTTTTGCTTTGAACGCAGTAGTTTGATAGTCTCCTTCTTATTTAAGTTTATCTCTTTACTCTGACCCAAATCCTTCTCCCTGCTCTCCAGGCAAAGCTGGAGGATGGAGGAACAGACTTTATTTAAGTTTTATTAAGAATATTCTGTAAGTTTTCTGTTTGATTTTTATACTTCAAATAACTCTTAAAAATCAATATTGTGATGACTGAAGTGTAAATGAATAAGAAACATGGAATAAGTTTACCCTTCAATTACATGAACAGAAATTCTATGGGTTTTTATTGTAAATCCAGGCAAAGTAACTAGGGGCATCTGCTAAGTCCCAGGTAAAGACGTAGAAGCTTCCTCTGTGGTGGCGAACATGGCACCTTCCTCTGGAGAGTCCCAGAACAATAGGGGCTTGGCGATCTTTTCTTGCTTTGTTTTTCCCTCTCTGAACGTCTCTTGAACTGGTACTCTTTTCTATTCTGAAGATCTCAGATGGGTGGAGACACTAACAATCTCAGCTTTCCACGTGGGTGATACCAGCTGGGCTTTGATCAGTGCAGGGTAGCTCTTGTCCAGCTGAATTGGGCCAGAGCACAAGGTTAAAGATTATTCCCATAAGTGTTCCTTCTTAATAAGGAAACAGAGTTCTCTGTGCCCCAAGTGGGCTCCTCTTTCTTCCTTTTATGTCACTTCTTGCTTTTATGTGGCTTATCACAGTATTACAAGTAAGCCTAGGCCTAACTGTTTTTGAAATCTCCAAAAAGGAGAAACCTGCCTGGTCCTCTAACTGGAGGAGATGATCAATCAAGAGATGGGAGGGAAGGCAGGGAAGGGAATCATTTAATGAAATTCCAAAAGGCTGCAGCTATATTTCTTGATTCCCTCTTTTTCTTCTTTTAACATCATTGTTTCACTGTTTGGTCATAATGCTTTTTTGTGTAATAATAAAAATGTAATGTTCCATTTAAAATTTTATCTTTATCCTTTGGTGTTTATAGCAATAATAATAACAACAACAACAACAACAGATGGTCTTATCTACCATTGATAGCTCAAAGAATTACATTCCTTCCACACAAGAGATATTTGTCTAAGGAACCAAACTAATAACATAGAATCAGAGCTCACTCTTCCCAGAATAGACAACATAAAACAATTGATTTCTATATTTATTTTTCTGCACCATATCTTTATCATGCTATGTAATCTATCATCGTAATTTCAACTTTATACACTTTATGCATCTTCTATAGTATATCACAATTGCCAAGTTTATAAATTATCTTCACTGTTTATATTTTGGTTTGGATGCTTTTAGATGATCTGAAATAAGGATAGCAAATAGGTGCAGTCTCTCTTCTAATTGATTAATAGTGACTGTGTGAAAATGTAATTCTCAGCCGTGGCCACAGGTTAAATCATCCAGAGAGTTTCTTCAACTTGAAGGCTACCCCACCCCGGGTCATTTTCAGAATCTGTAGGGACTGGGCTCAGGCATTCTTAAAATCTTCCCTGGGTGATTTGAATATACAGCTAGGATTAAGAATCATTGATCTGGAGCAATGTCTATCAAACTTCATTGTGGATCAGGATCACCTTGAGGGCTTGTTAAAAACACAGATCGCCAGCCGCTCCCCACCCCCCCACTTCGGCTCCCCGCTGGGCATTCTGATTCAGTAGGTCTTGAGTGGCACCCAAGAATTTGCATTTCTAACAAGTTTCTAAGTGATGCTGATGCTTCCTGTGCAGTCCTCATGAAGTTGTGATCACGTGGTATCTGCACTTTGGGAACCACTGATGTAAAGCATGTTAAAAATCAACTTGAAGCTGAATTAAGGTTTAGTGGAAAAGAGGGGCATGATTGATTAGTTATGGCTGGGGTCACAGAAAGGAGGAATCGTATTTGTTACCCCCCACTCTTAAGAAACTTACTGGTGAACTGTCCTCATTCACAGTGTAGAAATGGGTTACTCTGGGAATGATTCCCTGTTTACAGTCACTTCTACCTACATTGTAACAGTTCGTTCCTTGACGTACCATCTGTGGCAGGCCTCCCTGTCCTGCTGTCTAGGACTGGAAGCCTGTGTGCTGCCTAGCACAGTGCCGTTCCCACTCTTGCACGCTGCCACCATTGCAGTCCACCTCACCTGGGGGCCGCAGAGCTCAGTCCGTTATCTCTAGCCGTTGCCAGAGAAAGGCTGCTTATTCTCACACAACCATGAATTATTTTACCCAACTTGCTGGCTGGGATCACAGAACAGGTCAGTTTTGATGACATGTCATAGACAAAGGCTGCAGAACAGCAGAGGAGTGGGGAGAGAGGTGCTACGGAGTGTGGATGTGTTCTAAAACCTAACCTTACCCATTTCTAAACTTGTCCATAGATCTCTAAGTTTGTCTTCTTGTTTGTTTTCTCTCAGTTCTACAGGGCTCTATAGATCATAAAAGCTTTCCACAAACAGAATTCAACAATGGCCATGCAGACACTTCAAGCAACTCTCCTGCTGTCACTGAGAAAAATTGGTGAGTCTTATCCATAAGCATTCCCACTCTTAATTTCTGGTGCTCTGTTCCAGTAGACAATAAAACAGAACTATTTCTACAGTGTTTTGGTGAGTTGAAGACAGTGGAGCCAAACGTGTTTTTTATTAGATTTTCCCAGGTCAAAGGTCATTACTCTGTGGGCAAAAGTCTTTATTCTACAGCACAACCTGAACAGTCCTGCTCTTTGGGTTCTCTTCATGGTAAAACAGGTAGTTGCCTGATGAGGTTAAACAGATTTTCTCACCTGGGGACAGTTTTGCCCTTCTTCCCTACTGAAACACTTGGCAATGTCTGGAGATACTTTCGGTTGTCGCAACTTAGGGGGAGGAGTTATACTAATGTCATCTAGCAGGTAGAGGCCAGGGATAGTGCTAAACAGCCTACCACTCACAGCACAGCCCCATCACGACAAAGAATTATCCAGCCCCAAATGACAGTAGTGCCAGGGTTGAAAAAGCTTGATTTACACTGAAGCAAAACCACAGTTTCTAGTCAAATATAATTCAAAATGAGTACACTGTGCCCAGGGCCACAGGGCCCCATCGTCAGTGTACATGGGAGCTGCTCAGGTCTGCAGAGAACCATGCCTCTGGCTAAACGGAGGCTCACATCACTCTAAGTCAGGCCAGGCAAGGCCATGATATCAAGCACTGGACACTTGAAGGATCTCCTAGGCTAGACCTCCTGTTCTTCAGGGAAACCTCACCAACCTACCCTTTTCCAGAAAAGGTTTTCAGGCCCTGTCACACATGTCACCAGGAAGAGGACACAACTACAGGGAGTGAACTGTGGCAAAGGGAAGGTCTAACTAGAATGAAGCTTATCTTTCTTACTTTCCTCTAAATTGGTTGTAGGGACTTTTCCATTAAAAGTTTACTCCAGGGTTTGGAGAAAGAAGCAGATCATTAGAAAATTATTTGCATTTTTTCACTTGGAAAAAGAAGTGGTTTTGATTTGTAGTTTTTAAAAATATTTCTTAATTTCTTGAGACTCCTTATTAATATTCTTGAGACTTGACAAATTATCAATACTTCTCTAATGGTGTCGAACTGTTGTTGGACTGCTTATAAAGTAGACTACTTTCCCAATAGAACAGCTCATTCAAGGATTCTTGAGGGAGTATTCTAGAACATAATACTGGATAGTATATACTAGAATAAGAAAGTTTAGAATTTCTGATGCAGCAGGAAGACCTCTGAACTTGGCAGGTAGAAGACTTGGGTTCTGGTCCTAGTTAGTGCTGACATTTTCCAGCTGTTTGACCTTGGACACGTCAGTGAACCAGTTTGGTAAATGGCTCCAACTGCCTGACTCCCCTCAACCTCAGCCGGTGACTGACTTTAACTTACGGTATCAGGACAGTGCTGTGAGCAACTTGAGCTTCACTTCCCTGCATCTCTCTTTCTCTTCAGCTATTCTTTCTTCCTTTGCTCCCATATCAAAAATCTGCTGGTCTCTTCTTTGCACAGGCTAATGCCTTCGTTTGTGGCCCTGTCCCCCAGGCCCTGCCCTCATCAGTTAACCCACCCTGACTTTCACAGCTTTCTCTTTCTGCTGTCTTTTCCCCTTTTGCTTATACTTCTCCCCATTTTAAAAAAGGCTGCTCTTGGCTCTGGCTTCCCTCTTGTTACTTTTACTATCAGCCTTCCTCAGACTAACATCCCGGTCCTCTGCCTCATTCCCTCCCACCCCACCCTCCTTAATCCTGGAGTCCGATCTGATCTCTGCCCTCCCTCTGTCACTACAATTGCTCTTGGGAAGTTCAGCTCCCAGTTGCTACAGCCTTATCTTCATCAGACTCTAGCATCAGTTCCAGGGGCTGTGCTGTCCTCAAATTTCCCTCAGCCGTGGCTGTCTGCAGCACTGCTGGCTTCCAGTTCTTCCTCTGAGACATCCTGGTCTCTGTCTTCTCTGGCTCCATCATCCTCTTCTGCCCACCATTGAAATGGGGCAGCTCTCCAAGTCCTTGACTTTCTTTCTTCTCTATTCCTAACCTGAGCAATATCCTCTCTCACGAGTGTTCTTGTATCAACTCTCAGCCAAGTAAACGTGGTTCCCAGGTCTCTTTTCTGAGCCCCTTACTCTTATACCCAGCCGCTGCTGGCCATGTTCTGATTTCCACACCAGGGCCTCAGCAGAAAAGTCCCCACCAAAGCACCTTTTCTGCCTGCCCCCCTCCGCCCCACCATTAGGAGTTGCACAAACACTCTGGTGACCTTGCCTTGAAACCTGGCAGCCATTTTTGATCCCCACCTCCAATCATTTTCTTAGCATCCTTCCCTGCTCCAGCCCTGCCATTATCTTGTTCTCTCTCTCCTTTTTCTCTTCTTTATAGACCAGCTTTTATTTCTGACACCTGATCAATTGTCCTAAAGTATATTCTGACTTTTCAAAGAACTTTAATGGCTCCCCATTTTAGACCAAAATAGGTTCAGACTTCTCAGTCTGCCATATCAAGTCTCTTTCTGTCTTGCTCTACTTGTCTTCTAGACTCACCTCCAGTATGTCCCTGTATGCACCCTGTGGGGTCAGACTTCCTGTTTTACCACTGTACCTTCCTCTGTTCTCTCTGTTCATGCCTTTCTGTTCAGTTCTTAGCTATCTCATCAAGATATATTGTCACATCCGTTCCCTCTATGAAGACCCTAATTCTCTTCAATGCTCTTTGAACCTTCATAGTCCATTTTTAATAGTACTACTTGGAATGCTGTTTCACGACAAGATAATGAGCTTATATTAGAATGTAAATCAACCCACTGCTTTCTTCATCAAGGAAGTCTTGCTATGAAAAAAATACCAGCTGAGCTAAATAATGTACTACGTGGTAAATTGATTTACATTCTGGCACAAGCTCCTTATGACATTGTGAGTAGGAACAGCTCACAGACAGGTTCCTGGGACCACACTTTAGTTTATCACTCTCTGTTGCTCTTCACATATTGCCTGTGGTGTGGTTGACTGTGTGTCAGAAGGTGAGCTTCTCAAAGGTGAGGGCTGAATCTTACTTCTTCCTGTTAACAATACACGCAGTAGGTACTCAATATGTTTATTGAGCTGATTTCCAAGGCCACTCTTAGGGCTCAGATATTTATGAAAGAAATGTTTTTCCTGCTCAGTCTTTGGGTAGGGGTAGTAACAATAGGATCCAGAATAATCGCTCAGATAGTGTGTCAGTATGTGCCAGCCCCAGGGGGTTAAGGGTCTCATTTTGCCCTCTGTGTTTGATGGTCACCTCAGTGCCCTGTGGATCAACCCAGGGGTTGACAGGAAGAAAACAGGGGTAGTGACAGGGGAAGAGATGGGCAGACAAAGAAGAAAGTTGAGTCATGCCAATGATGATGCTCATAGCAGCAATTAACAGACCCTTTAACCAATATGTTTAAGAATCCCTTGAGATAAAGGTCTGAAGACAAAAGTTCCAATGCTGGCTCAGTTGCTCAGGGATGTCATTAGGGACACGGGCCCTTTTCATCTGTTTGCTACTTTCAGTGCATCGTTGTGCCCCCACTTATGGTCACAAGGTGGCTGAAGCAGCACTAAAGCAATACTTCCTCACATGGCAGTATCCAAAGCAGGAAGGAAGTGGTGGATGGGAAAGGGGTGGGGTTCTCCACAAGAGTCTCTCTCTGTTTGTCAGGATGGAAACCTTTCCCAGAGGTCCCTAGGACCCTCTCCCCACATCTCACTGTCCAGAATATGCCCAGGTGGCTCTTCCAGGGAGCTACAGGGAAAGCTGAGAACGTGAGCATGGGAATTTTCAGCCCTCTCCTCAGGAGAGAGGAGGCAAAGAGGAAAGGGGTTGGAGAACCAACCAACAAAATGTGCCAGAAGAGTCCTGAAGTAGTAGTGATGGGAGCAGATAGGTACCAGGAAAAGATAAAGAGAAGGCAAAATCAGAGTGAAGGGTTCATAAGGAAAACCCAAACATGACAAGAAGTATTGCTGAGAATAAAAACAACATAATCATTCAGAGTCACTCAACATTTGTTGTGAGTCCAGGTCTTTTTCCACAGTTATCTCATGTGATTCTCATCCCAGGCTTTTGGCTGGCATTACTGACCCATGTTATTGATAAGTGAACCTAACTGGGGAGGCTAAGACTGTAAGTCTCAAAAGCTTGCCTAGAGACCAGTGCTGAGTTGAATATATCAAATTTACCTGGTCCTGCCGCTAGTCAGCTAGTCTGGAGGGTCACCCAGTGTCCCACAGAGAATAAACAGCAGGTCAGGTTTGAAATCAGAGATTCTCTCTCCAGCAATAAAAACAACTAACACTTGACATTTATTAACAAATTTGGGGCACCATATTAAGTGTTGTATACGCATTACCTTATTTAATCCTTAGATAACTACCTTATGAAAGAAGTACACATTTTATAATTTCTGACAGTAAGATATTACAAGTAATTTGCTTTCTGATGGCGGAGTCTGAAGAAGACAGGCAGAAATGGCACATCTCAAGGGGAAGGAAAAGAAGGAAGAACAGGTCATCAGCCTCAGATCTCAGGTAGCTGAAAGAGAAAAATGTGTTGGTGTCTGCCACATCTTTGCATCCTTCAATGACACTTTTGTCCATGTCACTGGTCTTTCTGGCAAGGAAACCATCTGCTGTGTGACTGGTGAGAGGAAGGTGAGGGCTGACTGAGAGGAGTCCTCTCCCTGTGCTGCCATGTTGGCTCCCCAGGAGGTAGTCCAGAGGTACAAGGAGAGCACCACTGCCCTCCACATCCAACTTCAGGCCACAGGAGCAAATAAGACCAAGACCCCTGGCCCTGGAGCCCAGTTAGCCCTCAGAGCCATTGTTCCCTCAGGAATGAAGATTGGGCAGATTGAGGATGCCACCCTCAACCCCTCCAAAAGCACCCGCAGGAAGGGGGGTTGCTGTGGTTGCCTTCTGTGAACAGGATTTCTCAAATTATTGTTTTCTGTTAATAAATTGCTTTTGTATAAGTTTAAAAAAAGATAAGCAATTTGCCAATG